CGGATTATGCACTAGCCAATGGCAGAGAAATCCACCTTAATGCAAGGCCCCCTCCCTGAGACCTGCTGGGCAGGAGGCTGGTACCCGGAGCAGAGGTCTTGCTGTTTGGTTCCAGTTTGCATGGCTGACTCTTCTCACTGTCATAATTGGCCCCCTTTTTGGCAGCCAACGACTTGCTAGACCATGGAGGGTGAGCTAGAGGAGGCGCCACCTGATCGGAGTTAGGCTCCCTGCCAGGGTGTGTGGGGGAATCTTGTCCCACTGCTGCCGTCCCTGCTCTCTGGCCCGATAGAGGCCATCAAGCCCTGGGGTGGCTGATCCTGCAGCTTCCAACAGCCCTAAACTCACCTTCCAGAATCTCTCAAACATTTTATCGTTTTAAGCTTGACATAAATGCTGGGAGATTTCAGATGCAGCTCTTCACCCCACTAATGTCCTCAGCGGTGCCGCGCAGGGGAACCCGGTGGCAGAAGTGGCAAGAGGCAGCGAACAAGCTCCTAAACCAAAGGTGGCCAAGCAGCTCCAGCTTTATGGGGCAGAGTTCTGAAAATGCGGTTTCTGTTCCAAAATGCTGGCAGGTCTACAGGGCTCTTCAATTCTGCAAGGCCCCAGTATTTATCCCCATTGTACAGCTCGGGAACCACGGCAGAGAGGATAAATGATTTGTCCAAATCCACAGAAGTTTAGGGGGATTTTTGTTTTTTTCTTTCTTTCTTTTGTAAAGGAGTGAGATTAGAATCAAGGAATTTCTGGCTCCTAATCCTATGCTCAAATCATACCTCAAATTGAAGTTCTCTTACTTCCGTTAAAATTGAACCATATGCATCAGAGCTGACCTCTATTCCCCTAGGCATATGTTTATGGGCAACTAGGAAGGCGTAAGAAAGAAGCCACTTTCTACTTGTGTCTGTACAACCCAAAGCGGTCTACTGAGCAAAGGAGCAGGCTGGCAATGCATGGTTAAACAAGCCTGCACTGCCTGTCTGAGGAGCTGGTGGGGAAAACTTCCACGACTGCTAAGTTCATTTTTAAATCACCTCTGCCACTTTCCCTTGAGGGAGACTAGTGTCAGAGAGAACATAATGCTATTGTCCAAGTTGGTTGCACACCACTCTCTGGAAGCATGTCCGAGAGTCGGACTGACCATGGGAGGGTGGGGGACAGTAATGTTTAAAGTAGCCCCACCCATTTCAGGATGGTGTACTCCTGCGACTTGACGTTAAATGCCTCAGATGAGAGGCAGCACCATTCCCCACTACAAACATCAATGAAACTGAAGTTTTGCTTTAAAATAAGAGCTTCTAAAGCCACTTCCTAACAGCATGGCTCATCATGCGAGAGGCAGGGAACACAGCTCAGATCTAAACACAGGAGGGGACTTGTGGCTGTTGAAAGGGTGTACTTGAGACACAGACATCTCTTTGTGAAATAAAACCTGCCCTGTATTGTATCCTCCATCCGATTGTCAAACCAGGCCTTTCTCCATTTATTTATTGCTCATTCTTCTTTTTGATTACATTGAAGATGCTTGAAAAACAATTTCTGCGATTGCTTGGCTGCTTTGTAATTAGCTACTCCGATTAGAATCTGTCTCTCATGTTACACTGAAGTTTCACTCTCAAACTGATTAAGCCTGTTCCCACTTGCCAGGAGCTGACTGCTTCGCTGTCTGATGCCGCCTGAAGGCTTCATGACAAATTCCCCGCTCTGAAACCTGCCTTAATCGCTCACCTTATCTGCTGTGTGGATATAGCTGGTGTAACATGGGGAGGGGAGGGTGGGGTCAGTAACTCAGCTGTCCCAGTTTGCAGGTAAATTGTTATAGCTGCATGACTCACTGGTTTACTCATCTGTGCAAACAGCAGCGGAGTGTCTCCTCCGGCTGACGTGTGAGCCCGTCGCTGCAGAAGGTCCCTGTCCCTGCTGAGCGAAGCCAGATGGGAATAGCATGGCCCAGTGTGGCTCTTGCTCTCATGCTGGTTTTTAAGGGCTGAGGAAAACCCACTACTGAGGCTTGAAACTAACTTTCCTGACCCTAGAGATGGGATTAACACGGCATGGTGGACGCGGTAGCTAACTACGGTACATATCTGGCCCCTATTACAATCATATCTGAGCACCTCACACACAATCTTCCCCATCTTCACACCACTGATGTGCCATGGGGAAGTACTGTTATCGCCATTTTATAGAGGGGGAGCTGAGGCACAGAGACTAGTGCCATTTTCAACAGTGCTTTTGAAAATCCAACTGCACGTGACTTGCCCCAGGTCACGCCGGAAGCCTGTCACAGAGCAAGGACTCGAACCCAGTCTCCCACGTTCCAGCCTAGTGCTCTAGCCACCGGCCTCTCACCTGGCTCCACTGGAGCCTGTGCCCACGGACACTACTTCCTAGCTGAGGGCAAGTGTTTATATTCGACATTAACACTAAGCTAGGACTCTGGCAGCCTCATACTTGTCAGATCTTGGTATTTCAGTAAGGCTGGGCTGGGAGTCCTAGATGCTGCAGGGAATGGTGGTGGTTCTGCTTTGTCAGCGCTCAACCCAATGCCCCAGCCGTGCTGCTGGCAGAGTCCTGCTCTACCTGAGACCTCAGTTCTGGGCCCCTGTGATCTCTCTGAAAGCAGCCAGAAGTCTACAAGCCGTAGGTATTAATGCTGGCACCGGGATCAGACCCGTTTGGACAACTACATGCTGGTGCCTGAATCTGTGCTGTGGGCTGAGTACCTGAGGCTGGGGGACACCCTGGGCAAGCCCCACAAGACTACCGGCTTCCATGGGCGGCTGGCCATCCTCTTCGGGTCCCCGCTGTCACCTCCTAGGAGTGCTAACACACTCTAGGTGAGCGCTCCTTCGTATCATCCTCCCCTAGCTTTGAAAATCCTTGTTCCTTCCCCACAGAACATTCCAAGGGACAAACTATTCATCTCCCCAGGAAATGGAATTGTTGATCCATCCAACCACTGAACTCCACTGTACAGTGCTGGGGGCTGCTGCCTTCAGATAGGAGGCAAGCGCAGTCCTTGTCTTTAGGGCCGGTCTAGAATCATAGAATATCAGGGTTGGAAGGGACCTCAGGAGGTCATCTAGTCCAACCCCCTGCTCAAAGCAGGACCAATTCCCAACTAAATCATCCCAGGCAGGGCTTTGTCAAGCCAGGCCTTAAAAACCTCTAAGGAAGGAGATTCCACCGCCTCTGTTCTTGAGAGGAAACTAGCCCCACCTGTGTGTCAAACTTGTGAAAACTCTCTCCATTCCCAGCCCGAGTGGTGAATTAATAGCTCTTATGTAGCACGTTTCAGCAGTAGTTCTCAATGTGTCCCTGAATTATCCCACCATTTCTGTTCCTGGCAGGGTGAAGGCTCTGCCAGTCTGTTACCGGGAAAGTGACAGCCTAGTTACAGTTGGAATCTTTGCTTGTTTTTTAATACTGGTCACCAAATGGAAGCAATCACCCAACGATCTCCCTTGGTTTGCCCAGTGCATACACCGAGTCGCTGTGTGTAGGCCACCAGTGCTGCCTGTGCCAAGATGGGCTGAGCGGCTTCCATTTTAAACTGGCTGCAGTTGAAGTGCACGGACCAGACTGGTGGAATGCCCTTGGTGAGGACAGCACTACACGAACCTTACCTGAAGGCAGCTGCATCAAGGACCAAAGGCCAAACAAACTAACCGACCTCGAATCTGCAATAGGTTGGGGTCTATGCATTTCCCAATATTACAGATTGTGACCTACAGGCTGTGGCACTTGTCCTTTCTGTGGGGCTTGCAGCAAACTCGCACTCTGAGCACTAAATCCATTGACATTTGCAAAGCTGTTCGAGCACCGATGCAGCTGTGTGAGGTTTTTTTAAACAATTCTTCCCATCTACTCATTCTACTCCACGGTGGGAAGGCCAACGGCACAGACGGACCTTGGGAGTCCTGGTGCTGTATGAAGTACAAAGCCAGCGCCAGTCTCGGCCGTCTACAGTTTTCCATCCCTGGACACGTCTGTCGTAAATGTTTTAAGCACAACTTCAAACACTGCTCTCAATCATGGTTTGTTTCTCGGTAGCCAGCTCACCCCGACTGCAGCTGTGTGAGAGGACAGCCCATTGCATCCTCATGCTGCTAGGGCGGACTCTGCCCTGCCTGTGGGGCAGCTGTGAGAAATAAGGCCCCTGGAGTTGCCTCCAGCCAGTACAATCTGATTTAAATACACGTGCGTCTGAAGTAATATCATATAAAACGAGCTCTTACCAAGGGAGGCCTATTAAGTAGCTTCAGCAGAGGCTAGATGCCAGTCTCCATGTCTTGTTGCAGGGCCATGGATCACCACCTGCCTCCTCCTCCCGTCTTGTGCACTCACTTCAGCAGCTCTCACATGTGAGGCTTGAGGCAGAGTTCTGCTAGCTCCGCTCTAGAAAGCCACTTAAAATAGCCCCTTGTAGCAGTCAGATGCTTGCTGATAGCCTGCAGAGCGTGTGCAGGACCATGAGCCCCCCCCAAAAAAGCTTGTTTGAACTGCCCCTTCCTGCCCCTCAAGAGCCATAGCCCACCCTGTCTCAGTTTTGCAGAGATGGGCGACAGGGCCCTGACGTGACTCAGATCTCTGGCTGGTATTTCAGCAGTGACAGGGTTTGAATTTGGGTTAGTACTGATCAGGAAAAACGGTGACAATTCAGCACCAGACATTTGATGCTCTTCAATTACCACCTCCCATTCCTGGGAACAAGCCATGTTTCATTCCCACTTTATGGGGGGAATGGTGGCTCGAACGTGCCCTAAGGCCACAGTCAGTGCCAAAGCTGGCTTTCGGCTGAGGGAGTTCCTGGCTTTCAGCCCCGTGGTTAACACAAGAGGTCATACAGACATACGCAAACCCTTCTATGCTCCATCTTCATTCACTCCACCCTCTAAAGGAAAAGCACACACAGGTAACAGCAGCCTGGAGGCGTTCCCCTTGGGTGCTGGGGAAACAGCAGCCAGATGCCCATGTACAGTAAATAGGAGAAACTTTATTTTGTTACAAAAAGTAAAAGGCATAAATGGATTTCAAACCCTACCAGACTGTAGCCTAGCTGACAAGGGGTGGGGGCTCACGGTTTGACACTAGCTCCCTTTTACAAACCCTACTTGGTTTGCCCAGTGGCTGCTAGAGTGTTAGAGCATCCAGCTTCCTTCCCCTCTTTTCTGCTCTGTCCTTTCAATAATGCTGATGGCAGTAGCAGAGGAATCTACACAGGGGCTGCAAAAGTCACTACTGAAACCACTACTGCACTTAATCCCTTCCTCTAAACTAGTGTATCCTAAGAGACAGAAAACACAGAACTTACTAGTAAGTGTTTGAAAGGTGAACTCTTCACACACACTAACTACCGCAGAGACAGGAGAGTCCTTTGCCTGCATACATACGGCGCGAGCAGCTCACGGCTGGGGAGGCGGCCGCTGGCCAGCTCTGGCAGAATTCTGCTTCACAAGCCCACTTAACCAGCTGTGAACACACCGCACTAAACCTGGTAAAGTCTCACGTACCTGCTCAACTAAATAACTATAATTACATCTTCAGTCTATTGAGGGGGCGACACCGGCACTGCAGAGTAAGGCTAGTTCCAAGGAGCCAGCGAGGGCCTTGGTTCAGTTGCATGAGTCTCTTTCCAGCAGCAGGAGACGGTAAAAACTCCAGTTATTGCACTCAGAACAGATGCATTTATGGCTTTATGCTTCAAACCCATGGGACAGCAGCGTGCGTCAGCTCCACACGCGGGTTTGGAAAGGCTTTCCCACGTGCACAGCAGCTTTCCTCCCTCTCTTGCCACGGGAGGGACCGAGGTGCAGTAGCGTAGCCCTGGCGTGGGGAGGCACAGGCGGTGGTAATGGCTGCTGTTTCAGGTATTATCCGTGTCCTCAAGAGCGCTTTAGTCCCCTGAACATACTGGATTTCCCCCCGTCAGTGCAGGGAAAGGAAAGTGGAGGAGAGAAAGAGAGGGTTAGTACAAGAAATACCAGAGTGAGTCAGGAAACAGGAGCAAGAGCAGGAGTGGATCCTCCAAGCCAGCTACAGGAAATAACAGAACAGGATGGGGTCAGATCATTGCCAGTCCTGTGTTAGCAGCACAAGCGAGGCTCCAGCAACACTCTCCTCAGGAGCTGAAGCAGCTGACCTCTGGTAACACCCATGCCAGGCAAGCATCAGCTGTTTAGACCCCTCAAAACAAGACAGATAAGGGAGTAATTACTGACCAATGCTCTCAAGCATCATGCAGTAGGAGAGGGGGTGATTAGGAGACTACCACATGAGCAAGACAGCACTCAGCAGGGAGAGGAAGAGGAGGAGGAAGGGGAATCGGAGCAAGACACGTGCAGCCACCACTAGACACTCTGCAGGTGTGTAACTATCGGTTTACTCCACAGCTGCTAGGTCATGACTTCCTTTGCACCCACACTTGTTGTGGATAGCACATGGCGGAGAACAGCGGCGGCACCAGCAGTGGAACAGGCTCCAGGGATAGCTGACTTCGTGTCATAAATACAAACTGTTCTATGGACTGTGCAGAGAAGACAGGGAATAGACACTGGCAGGGTCCATCCCGCTTCCTGGCAGCTGGGCATTATCAGTGCTCCCCTTCTGGCGGACACTCGCTCATTAGCGGTGTGTGGAAAGAAGGAGAAGCGCAGTTATGCAAGTGTTAGCAGGGCTGTCCCTGCAGAATCCCCTGCCGTCGTCACGGAGTAATGAGCACTGATGTAACACTACGTTCTCTTCAAAGCACTTTTACAAATTACTCACCGGTGTCACAGGCATGTTGAAGGATGAGTTTCATGTTACAGAGAGGAAAACTGAGGCACAGAAAGGGGAAGTGACTTAGTCACAAAGTGCATCAGTGACAGAGCCAGGATTACGAATCTGTTCCTGGCTCCCAGTCCTGTGGTCACGCCACACCTTGCTGTGAATGTCACATCCCTGCATCAGCAGAGCTTCTCTTCCACCCACAGCAGCATCTCGTTTGCCAGGGCTAAAAGTCAACACTGCAATCCAGCCTCTTTGCAGCCACCATTCAGGGCTTAAAGCCCTACTGCCCTAACCCTTCTGTCCGTGCATCCCATCTCCCTCCAAACTAAGTCCAATCCTCACTACTCTCTAAACCCTGCAGCTCTAGTAACAACTGGCCTAAACCCAAAGTAATGCACGGCAGCTCTCAGCCAAGCACATCTGCTCTGCCTCCACTCAGTCTGCAGTGCAGTGCAATGAAACTTTCCCTAATCCTCTGCAAGGCTGGGGATAATCCTACATACCACACAGCCTAGCATGGCTCACTGCCCAGCAGGGCTCTTCGCACACACTACACACCAATGCCTACACAAACCAGAGGGTAGCTGGGGCTTCCTGTACAGAGCAAATCATGCAGGGAGGATGAGATGAGTCACTGGACTGGGGAGAGAAGAAGAAAGTGCTTTCTTACCAACTACCCCTCAGAAAGCAGGGCTAACATCCAGAAAGCGGGGTGTTAGATCCCATCAGGCAGTGCAGGAAATGGCAAAGTCCTGGCAGGCATCCTCCTGGGGAAGACACCAGAGATTATGCACTTCAGCATCCGCTGGCAAGGACAGGGCAGACTGTGTCAGAGAGAGGGCGCTCTGTCTCAGGCCACTCTCAGATCCTGGGACAGCACTGGACTGGGTTAGAGGGAGAGGGGGATGGGAGAAGGGTGCTTAACTTAAGGCCTCTGAAGGAAGATGCAGTTTGAGCTGTGTCAAATTTCAGCAGCTGAACGATGAAACCCCGAGAAACCATCGGGCCACACCAAGTTGCTGGGGTTTGCAGCTGTGCATACCTTCCAGCCTGATCCTGCGGGGAGTGCTTACAGTGGGCAGGCAAGCCTCGCAGCTGGAAGAAGCCATCTAACCTTCATTGGACGGACAGAGAATCATTACTCGCCCCACTGCAGAAGCTGAGGAACATGCCTCCGAACCCATAAAAGGAAACAAACAAATCCCCAAACAGTTAACTTTAAAAATATAACTTTATTACAGCAAGTAACAAGAGAAACTGGTTCAAATAGAAGTGAGAGAGTTTGCCTCCCTCGCCCTCCTTCAGAACTCCTGTAAGAGGCCGGGTCAGTTTTCCTATCCCTTCCCATTAAGCTGCAGCCTCTTAGAGCGTAGCTTTACTGACCCTCTACACACCATCTGCCAGTCCTACCATTACACAAGCCACGAAACAGCATCAGGGCCCTGGGAGAGTTAGTGCCGTTGTATTAAGAACACCGGCTATGTTGTGGATAAGGGGAAGACAGACGGGAACTGCTGCGCAGCATGGTTTCTGGAAAGGATTTTTGGAGGGCTATTTTCCAGACACAGCAGCAGCTTTGGACACTGTTGCATTGAGCCGTCGGAGGCGGCAAGGCACATCAGCTATAGCCTTGTGTGTCAATCTGCAGAGGGAGCGGCCCTGCCAGCCTGCCTCACCCCTGAGCTGCAGGGGTCACCCCCAGGGCTCAGGTGGTAATTTACGCTACCTGCTGGTAGCGACCCTTCTTCGCCTCAGCTGCCAGCAGTGGGGAACATTAACATCCTGGGGGGGTTGTGGTGCGAGGATACTTCTCCGAGGAACAGCTGGTAAATGCTTTTGGTCACTAAGAACAGGGGCTGGCTTTGGACTAGTCACCCTGCTGGAAAGGGGACTGATTGAGAACAGCATATGAAGCCCGAATCATCCAGTCCCCAGCCATACATATAACAAGGCAGCAGCACCTCCCCCCCCCCGGCTATCCTATAAGATCAGTCCACTAACAACAGCACCCCTGCCATGCCCCTTCTCACTTGAATACTGAGCTCTCTATGCACTGAGCCAGAAACATGAAGCAAGAGGAACATTTACAGGGTGGCAGGAGCAGATTTTTAATCAAATCTCCAAAAAGGAATGGTTTGAAATTGTCCAATATTCTTCTCAGCTAAAGCTTCTCTTAAAGCCCCACCTAAAACCACTGCCTTCTGCAAGAAGCCTGCAGCATGTAAATGCAGATCCCAAGTTCCCAACCCCAGGACGTGGGTGGTGGAGGGGCGGGGCACATCTCATGCACTGCTCTTTGAACAGTCAGGATTTGTGACATTTTCTGGCCAGCAACAAAACTGGGCTACAAAAGAGTGCCAAAAACTAGAGAGGAAGGGAATGCATGGAATGTGAGAACACCATGCTGGGGGGTGCATTTAAACATTGTCCCATTGAAGTTCACCACTGCTCAGCAGACTGACTCACAGGGTAGGGCGAATGAGGGGTGCCTTAAGCAATACCAGCCCCTTCCACACACCCTATGTTCTCCTTATGTTTGCAGCAGCCGGCAATTCTCTGCTAGCGTGCTGTCATTCATGATGTGCAAAGCAGAATACAGGGGAATACCTCTGTGACAATCTGCCCCACAAATGCACTGACTAGTGATAAAAGCACAGGTGAGAAAGATGAAAGGGCTTGGGTCCGATACATACTGCAACGCCTGGGGCGTCTAACCAAGTGGCTTAACACAGAACAAACATTGCAAATCTCTACCCTGGTGCCAGGAATATGTACAGCAGCTATCTACACCGACACATAAAAAAATACTACTTAGAAAAAAATCTAAAAAATTGTGCAAAAATACCCAGCAGCTTTTAATAAACACATTTCAAGTATTGCTAATGTGTCTGTAACTCTCCTAAACACACTCGCCAGTGTCAGTAATCCACAAGGCAGACTGGTGAACACCTGGTAAGGAGCAGCAACAGGTATGGTGCCACCCTGGGGCAGACAAACTCAGAGGAATCATTCCCAGAGGGCCAGCAGGTGGCCCCACTCTCTATTCTACTGGCCAGGAATCCAAACCAAGCGCAGGCTAACTGACACCAGCAGTCAGGGTAACCCAATTTGGGCAAGCTGTGCCTCTTCAACGCTGGAGCCCACTCACGCTTTAGCCATCTAGTGTTGGGCAGAGGTCTGACAGGTGACCATCTAAGGGCAACATCTCCCCATTACACCCACAAAATACTTTGCTTATTTTGTTTCTAACAGTTAAAACTAGGAGCTCCTCTGGACTGTATCCTTGCACGGCTTCTTACTGGGTGAAATGGCTATAACATTAGGAAGGGTTGGGTCAGCACCTTCTCTGTGATCAGGTGAGAGCCAGCACTGAACAGCAACTGGGATGGCACATCTATTTCCCTGCCTATGCTCACTGCCCCATATGGGTCTGGACCCTCAGAGCTCTCCCCAGCACCTGGGAACGAGAATGTTATCCCAACCAGCCAGCTGCAATTCTGAAAAGTAACGGTGCTGCTGGGAAAGGGACGCTACATATTCCACAGGCCTAGATGGGATCGTAGTTTATACTGACACATGAAGCTGCCCCTCACACTCCTGGGGCAGAGATGCAGGAGGCATGTGTAGAGACACAGCAGGGAGACCTAGCTTTCAGCCTTCATCATCCCCAAACACCCAACCCCCAATCTAGAATGCAGCACTGGAGATGGGCCATGGACTCCCCATCCTCCGCCCCCACAAGGCCCGGCAGCCCATTCAGCTAATCCCCGCAGGAAAGATGGCAGCTCTCTGCAGCGGACACTCCAAGCTTGGATGGTTCTGAGAGGTTGGGGTTTCCCAAACAGCCCTTCTTGCTTCCCAGCTGTGGTTCGAACCCCTCTCCCTGGGTGAGGCCAAGGTCTTGCTCGGCATCAGGCTGTAGCAGTTGAAAATCCAGGTAAGCCATATCACAGTGAAACAAAAAATAAATAAATAAAAAAGGAACGCCTGGTTTGACTGAGTCTTTGGCAGCTCTGCACCACAGGGCTGTCTTGCCTGAGGTCAGGGAGATAACGGGAAGGTACTGACTGGAGCTAGGCACAGGCACGACAGGCACTGGACTATATCACAGCACCACTAGGGAATGCCTCCTACCATGCTGGTGTCAGTCTTGGCTCCAAAGGAGGGGATTTCACTCTTGGGACTGGACGGGGTCCCGGCATCAGGCTGGATAAATCCTCTTCTGTCTATTAAACTAGAAAACAAGATGGGAAAAAAGAGGGGAGAGGTTAAAACAGCAATGTTCATCAAGAAACAAACCCCCGAAGCTGTGTGCTAAGCCAACCAGTGATGCTATAAAAATGAGTTGCTAGCACCTATTGAGTCAACAATATAATACTGGTACAAAAAAGGTGAACACAATTCTGGGATGTATTAGCAGGAATGTCGTAAGCAAGACACATGTAGTTGTTCTTCCATCCTACTCAGCACCGATAAGTCCTCCACTGGAGTAGTGTCTCCAGTTCTGGGCACCACACTTCGGGAAAGATGTGGACAAATTGGAGAAAGTACAGAGGAAAGCAACAAAAATAAAGATCTAGAAACATGACCTACAAGGAAAGACCGAAAAAAATTGGGTTTGTTGAGTTTACAGAAGAGAAGACTGAGGGGGACACGATAACAGTCCTCAAATATATAAAAGATTGTTATAAAGAAGAGGGTGATAAATTATTCTCTGTATCCACTGAGGACAGGACAAGAAGTAATGGGCTTAAGCTGCAGCAAAGGAGATTTAGGTTAGACAAGAAAAACTTCCTAACGGTCAGGGTGGTTAAGCACTGGAACAAATTACCTAGGGAGGCTGTGGAATCTCCATCACTGGAGGCCTTTAAAAGCAGGTTAGACAAACACCTGTCAGGGATGGTGTAGATAATACTTAGTCCTGCCTCAGTGCAGTGGCCAAGCCTAGATGACCTATCAAGATACCTTCCAGTCCTACTTTTCTGTGATTCTAGCAAACCCTGACAGCATTTGATCATTAGCACAAGACAGCTGTGTCTGCCAGCACTGTCCAGAGATTAGGGAATTTGAATGCACTCAGGAAAATCCCCTTGGCCAAATCTCATGAGGGTGACTGGGGAGAGGGAACAGACTCCGCACACAGGACAGCACTTAACTATGGCTCAGACTTTTCTTGTGAATGTTTTTAAACACTTGTCGCTTAAACCCCAAGGTGACCGGCAAGGCTACACGCACCCACCTGAGCCCAAAACACTTAGCACTCTGGGCAGGAAGGCGTTTCTTCAAATCTCTTGGTGTGAGCTGAGTGCACCTGGAAGCTGCTGGCTTGTCCGCCCTGGACAGTCAAGTCCCCACTGCAGCCACAGAACCAGTACCATAGTGACAGCAGCAGGGTAAGCTTCCCCAAGCCCTGCTTGTCTTTGTGGGGACTGCTAGACAAAGTGTCAGTGGGGGGATGGATGATATGGGTTCCTGAGCACTCAGAACTAGAGACAAAGTTGTGTCACTACTGTGCTAGGCTGGAGTTGGAGAGGCCCCCTAGAGCAGGAGTGAAATACTATTATCCCATTAGCAGTCATCTGCCTCCCAGGGCTCTCAACATATTGAAATAGATTAGCTCACTTACTATCATGGACTCCATAGTAACGGTGACACTGAAAAGGACAAGAACCTTGGGAAGTATTTTTTTTCGAGGGGGAAAACAAAACCCTCCTTAGCTCATGGTGTACCAGCCCTCCTGAGCACAGGTTAAACAACAGCTGACCTTCCCTGAATTATTTCATTACACTTACATTGGGCTAGTATTTCTGGAATGCTCCCAGTAAGTTCAAATTGGTTCCTCCCAGCAAAAGAAACACTGTCTCAAAAGTGCCTGAAGCATTCAACAGGCTGAGAGCTACAAAACGTGGGTTGGGATGAAACTCCCAACCACCCAACACAAGAGATTATTTTAAATTTGCCCGACTGCGCCCTCATGTGACTAAACCATGGCAGTTTTATTTTTTGATGGGATTAGATTCATAGCTGTTAAAGCCAGAAGGGACCATTCTGATCGTCTAGTCTGAGCGCCTCAGATGGAAGATGTTAGGTAGGTTAGATCCAACAGAGGGTTTTTGTTTGTTTTTTGAAAGGTACAAACCAGGTTTCATTAAATGATTTTTTTAAACTGCAATTCAGTTTAAGCAGTGAACAACATTGCCCCAGGAACTCTGCAACTCAGGGACCCTGTCCTCTGCTCCGGGGAAGAGCAGAGGGTGGAACTCACTGGTCTGGTTTCATTGTCCAAGCCCAGTGAAAAACAAGAAGCAAACCAGCACAGTTGAGGAAAAGTCAGAGAGATGTTTGGCATTATTCCTTCCTGCTTTAATGACAGTTGCAGATAATTCACAGGTAAGGGAATTTGTCAGGATCAAATTAAATAGGAAATCATTGTGTCCTTTTAATGCAAGAGTCTCCAAATTGTCTGAGTAAGGACAGCATTGGCTACTTGCCAGAAGGCTAAGGTTTCCAGCATACTGCATAAAATGGAGAGGATTGCAGTCTACCCCATCTCTGATAGAGGTGAAGACCTCCACAGACCACATATCCCAGCATGCAATGCTCCATCTTGATCTGAAAAGCAGCTGCAAGATGCATGTAGAATTCCAGCCACTTAGAGATGACCTGCAAAGGAAAAACCTGGGCTGGTGCTCCTTACTTCTCCTTCTTTATAGTGGATGATGGTGGGATGGAAGGGGTTTTGATGCTTGTTTTTCACCTTAGAAATATCAGGTATGTCAAGTCTGCTCTCACCTGGAGATCCTGGAGCTGTATCAAGAGCACATTTAGCAAGAGCCCTCCTGCCTTCTTTGACAAGTGAGGAGTGAGACAAAGCTCTCTCCCCCCCAGTCGGTCAGTTAGTCATGGAAATTAAAGAGTTGTTCAATAATAATAATAATAATAATAGCAGCTTTATTTAACCACAGTCTAAAATCTGTACTCTCCCGATCATTCAGCTTTCACTGCCTTGAGTCTGGTGAGTGTGTCATTCCACTAGTTCTCCAGTCACCAGAGACTCTGCCAGGGCAGACAAGACCTGTATTTGTAGTGTAAAAACAAGCAGTGAAGAACTTCTCCATCACCCAGAAGTCAGAGGTATTGGGAAGTCCTTTGCAGGGCACCTTTAAGCCCAGGGTTATTCTTTATGTAGTGCTAAAGCTCACAGGATGCATCCTTTAGCCCTCCTGAGCTCCTTAGGGCACTGGATTTTTAAATATCTAAAGAGGAAACACACATCTAGTAAATACATCCATAGCAAGCGATTACCATTCGCTGCTGGGCCCTCCGGTAACAGGCACATCCCACCCTTACTACACTGCAGGGGGAAATTCCAGTTGCACTCAGTTTACACCCTACAATGAAGTCTGAAGTGCCCTGAATTAAGCAGATTTCAATGGATGAAAAGTAACAGTCAGCACTCGCCTATACATTTACCTCTCCCTCTGGGCCTGAGCCTCAGAATTACCCACCCCACCCTACACGAGAGCCCTGTGCCGTCGCTTTGGCCTGGCTCCTGGGAGCCAGTATTAACCTCGCCTGTCTCCACCTCCGCATGTGGCTGCAGTGTCAGGGCAGGGTGCAAGTCCCGAGTCCAGTGAGGATCGGAGGCTCTTACCTGGGATGGAATGGCCCACACAATACTGCACAGCAGTTGGTGAGGATACTCTTATGGCTGTAGGGATTGGCAAACTCTGAGCCTCTCTTATTTGACCACGACCCTTTGATCTGCAATTGAAAGGACACAGGCTGATTAGAAAGCGACAGCCTGGCGAGGGCATGGAGATGGTCAGTGCACTGCCCAGGTCACATGGGAGGGGGCCTTGGACAGTGTCATCCACACTCTGCTTGAAAAGCCCAAGACTGAAGTGACCCAAGCCAGGGCAGAGGGTGTGGAGCTTTGCACTGTGCCCCACAACACGGCTCTCGCTTCCCTGGGCTCTAAATCCTCTCCACGGCAGTGCGGCTAGCTGAGAGAACAGCACTGTGTGAGACAAAGCTTCCCCCTCCCATTGCATCAAGCAACCTTTAGCTGGCCTTCTGCAGCGCACGTCCTCTCTAGAGCAGCTCGCCCTTCTGCCTTTGCCCAAGCTTAGTCTCAGTCACAATGCCCACTAGTTACACGTTTCCCACACCATGTACTATGCATCGCACTTTGTGTAGTGGTTGTAAACCCCCCACCCTCCCATCCCTTTGTTTCACTTTAGTCATTTCTTGTTTGCCAAATTTAGACTGAAAGTTCTACAAGGCAGGGGCTCATTTCTGTAAAGCACATAGTGCACTTACAGAGCTAAGCTAACAGCAAGAGGGTTCATAGGCAGCTCTGTTAATGTAAAGAAACCCTTTAGTTTCTTCATGCTGAGCACCCACAGGAGCCTGTTTAAGGAAACACTGTCGCCTTGAAATCTTAGTCATGTCAGCTGTAGGAATTAGATGGTGTTCCAGATCCTACCTCTGCCCCTGAGCCTCGGCCAGCTTGTGAGAGTTTACAATCACGCTTCCCCTTTTTACTTCCTTTCCCCAGCTGCTGTGACAAACAGGCCACTCAAGCAACACAGGAAACTGACAGACAATGCACCAGTCACGCTGTGTAACTCCCATTGACTTTAGTGGGAATCTCAGTTGTATAACCGAGAGCAGAAATTGCCCCAAAGTGCTGTTAAATGCACTAAGTAAAAGAGTAGAGGAACCATTCTCTCTGAGACAGCAATTGTGTCACTTGTAACAACAAGGTGGTACAAATATTTCAGACAGAAGTGTGATTTTCAAATCCCTTTAAGTAACCAGACATATACAAACAGCTGTGCTATCTAGGTACTTATCAGACCCCCATTACAGTAGTAGCTGAGCATGTCACAATCTTTAATACATTTATCTTTATAACACCCCTATGTATCAACTCCCTTTCATAGAGGAAGAATCAAGGCCGAGAGAGAGAGAGACACAATGGGACTTGCCAAAGTCACACAGGAAGTCTGTGGCAAGGCAAGGAACTGAACCAAGTAATGCCCACCCATTGAGCCTCCTTCCTCTCTATTGCTCTCTCCGTGGTCCAAATATTAACAAAGGCCACGTCTAGACTGGGAAACAGGTCATGCTTCAAAATATGTTAAGCTCACATGTTTTAACTAACATGATTTTAAACAGGACTTTGCATCTAGCGTACACAAGGCAAGTCCTGTTTACAAACATGTTAGCTGGTCGTGGTCCATCTTAGGGGCAGCCCAAAGGTTCAAGTGTATTAGCTAGTATTTTAAAATATGACCTCTTTTCCTCATCTCCACACAGCCAAGCAACGCACACCGCTCGCCCTTTTGAAACCCATGCACTCTGCCTGTGTGCGCATGCGGGGTCATGCTCTGCTGGGCTACTCGAATTAGAGTGTAAACTCTGGGGGCAGCCCAAAGGTGCTATCTTTTATCTGCTCTGTAATAAAGTGCCACAAGCACCTAGGGCCTGTCAAGATAACTTCCTCTAACACACTTCTGCAGAGACAGCAACAGATTTTTGGCTGATCTCTTCATTGCTTAGAAAGGAATGGGTTTCACGCCCAGGAGGTGGTGCTTACCCCTTTCTGGTCCCACTCTACGGAAGGAGACACACACGGATACTTACGTCTTCATTCGTTGTCAGGTTGGAGGCGACTAGGTAAGTGTGAAAACCTGAGAGGCCCAAAATAGACCAGACTGAGAAAAAACATATCACCAACTCCAGCACGGTGAAAAGAGAGTCAAGGAAGCCTCCAAGACCACACACACACACACAGAGCAAGGGGAGGCCTCGGGTCCAAGTAATGGAGGCACTCTCAGCAACTAGTAATGGTCTCAAGTTGCAGTGGGGGAGGTGTAGGTTGGATATTAGGAAAAACTATTTCACTAGGAGGGTGGTGAAGCACTGGAATGGGTTACCTAGCGAGGTGGTGGAATCTCCTTCCTTAGAGGTTTTTAAGGTCAGGCTTGACAAAGCCCTGGCTGGGATGATTTAGTTGGGGATTGGCCCTGCTTTGAGCAGGGGGTTGGACTAGATGGCCTCCTGAGGTCCCTTCCAACCCTGAGATTCTATGAACCGTGAGGACTCTTGGCGGGGGGCACAAGCACAGGGACTTAGGGAGGGTCATGAAGGGCTCAGCAAGGTGCCCTTGCTTTTGAGTGGCTGGCTGAGACTCCTAGCAAGGAATTGGATTCTCACCCCTACCTCTTACATTAGGGGAAAAGGGTCCGTCCTCGCTAGCAAAGGAGAGTGCATTCCAGCCAACAAAGCAGGCATGCAGCTTCCTTCCCACTGTCTGTGCTATTCTGCGAGTGCCCATCAAGGGAGAACTCACTACGGCCAATTTAGTGACATCCCCCGTTTTCCATGTGTCCTCCCACGTGTCAGAAAGGGAGCTTGTTTCCAACCCTCGTCTGTGCATCACAGCGCACAAGGTACTAGTCTGGCACTGAGAAAGAGACTGTGTCTTGAACAAAGGGTCTCACCAGCTTGGCTACAGGATCACCACCTCCTCTTGTAAATGCAGAGAAGTCTGCCCGTCCCCGCCCTGTGGTGTAAGGAGGCTACGTGCATTAGGGTTTGAAAGTATAGTGAAATGTCCTGACAGAAGGGGCTTATTGTATGTTGTAAATCAGAGAACACTTTTCAGAGAGCTATAGCTTTAGTATCTCTCCTCCAATACCCTGCAGGGATCCAGCTGTGTCAGCATACAAAAAGGGGAACAGATGGGAAGGTGCAGGCTTTAAAAGGATATCTCGCCGGTGTTGCCTTCAGAGTGGTGAGGAATCCACTTCCCTGAGAGCCTACAAAGCAAACAGGACAAGATATTGAAATCAAGAAGGCACATGTACATCTCCAGCCAAAGGCTACATGGATCTGCCCAACTGACTGAGAAACCCCCGCAATCTAGATGCTGGTGTGCAGCACGCGCTCCAAGAGGTTCAGGGGCTGAAAGGCAAGCTGCCTTCTATCAGAGGCCATGACTAGACGTAGATGCAATGTATACATACACCTCCAACCTACTGCAGCCCTGACATAGTCTATATCCTACTTGCTAGGGAGGGCAATAACCCACTCACCAAAACTCTCAAACAAAATAAGGTTTACAGTTCTCTACTGCGGCCCTCGACCAGTTCATCCAGATGACCTAGCAGTGAAAGGCCCTGAATCTCATGATCGTCACCTGAGCCATCCATCACCTAGTCTGATACAAATTTAGAGGCTGCTTCCCTGTCTGTGCTAAGCCAGGTGCCCATGGTGATGGTCTGAGTTCACCTTGGCCAGGAGGGTGATGCACATGTTACTCACAGCGGCCGCAGTACTTACGCAGAGTGAGGTGGGTGACGACACAAGCAAAGATGAAGGCCGTCAGGAAGGAGAGGGAGAGGATGAAGGCGTAGAAGTAGCGATAGTTGCGCTTCCCCACGCAGTTGCCTACCCAGGGGCAGTGGTGATCAAACCGCTCTGAAACAAGGCAGAAAGGGAAGGACATTAGAACATCTTACTCCCTACAAATGGGTGAACACTGCAGAGCCTCTGGGAACCTCGGGGCTACAAGCCAGCCCTTTGCCCTACCCTGCCAACCTAAGATTTTAGCCCAGTATCTCTGAATGACAGGACACCATCACTATATTTATATAGTACTTTGCAATCTGTATATGTGCCCTTCTTTAACTTTATACGGACACCAACTTTAAAAATCACTTTACCAGAATACTGTTCTAACTAACTGTGGTTACTTGTAACACCTACAATTTCTAAAACTGAAAGACATTAGAGAAAATGCATTTCTATTTCTTCAGTCTGTATACTTTGTGCATTTGACAGAACTGTGGGGACTCAGTTTCACTGTTCCCTTGCATTAGTCAGTTTCCCCTGTTCATGTGAAGAGAAAAGGCATTTTAAAAGTTAGGAAAATTTGATTGTAAAGCCACAAAGATTGGCAAGGGAACCCAGGGCAGATGCAATATACCTGAAAATACTTCTGACTCTTAAAAGAATGGACTAGATTTCAAGTTAGCAGAGCCCTTTTAACAATAGTAGCACTGCTGGCAAAACATGCACACCACTTTACCCACCACTGAAATGCAGCCACCTCTGAGGTGAAACTTATCAACTCTTTCACAGCTCATGGTAACATTACCTAAGAGTTTCATAGACTCATAGACTCATAGACTTTAAGGTCAGAAGGGACCAATATGGTCATCTAGTCTGACCTCCTGCATGATGCAGGCCACAAAAGCTGACCCCCCCACTTTCCCTTAACTCTGCTGTTGAAGTCTCCAGATCGTGATCTAAAGACTTCAAGTTGCAGTGAATCTTCCAGCTTGCGACCCCTGCCCTATGCTGCGGAGGAAGGCGAAAAACCTCCAGGGCCACTGCCAATCTACCCTGGAGGAAAATTCCTTCCCGACCCCAAATATGGCGATCAGCAGAACCCCGAGCATACAGGCAAGATTTTCTAGCCAGACCCTCATTTTACCAGCGATGGACGTTATTGCCTAATTGACTAAAATCACGTTATCCCATCAAACCATTCCCTCCATAAACTTATCTAGCCTAATCTTGAAGCCAGAGAGGTCTTTCGCCCCCACCGTTTCCCTCGGAATACCGTTTCCCTCGGTATTTAATACAGGATGTGAAGAATATCCTATCCAGTTGAAACCGCCAGGGGAATTTAGGATGGCAGAATGAAATTACCCACACAGAAATTTTGCCAAAACACATGGGTTAACACTCCTCCGCTAGCAAAAAAAAAAAAGTACCAAGCCATCTTTTATAACCACAAGCGGCCAGGACCTCCAACTTAGGTCTCACCCAAAAAACTGCAACTCTAGCAGCACAGCACTGCTTAATACTAGGCAGAGGCTTGGGTTCAAAAGGAAGAATGCCAGCTACTAAAACCTGAAGCATCCTGGAGATCTCCCATTCAAGCAACGCTCAGGCCTGACAAAGCTGGGTGGGGCTGCATCCTGTGCCACCGAGCGACTCTCGCTGATGTCATGCCTCATCCTTGAAAGCCATTCAGTAGGTCCTCAAACTCCCTGTCTTTGAGCCATCTTCTTTAGACAGGTGACCTTGAATTTTGTGGCAGTTCTCAAATCAGTAATTTCATCTGTCCCCAAGCTGCCCCAGCATCCACAACTCTTAGTGCAACATGCTGACTGGAACAGAAGGTTGTACTCAGATAGGTTGACAATTAATGAAGTAAGTGTGCTCAGTGGATCTGCCATTCACCTCTACTCCACCATCCTGCCCGTACGTCGCACCAGACGGACAGCTTTTTAAACTGCTCCTTCAGAGACTCTAGACTCTGCAGGAACCTCACTGCCACACCAACATCTGCTGCTTCACAGTCCCCCTCACATCTGCCAGTGTGGGTGTACCCAACCCCTTTTTTCACTCCTTCATTCAGCCTCCAGCTCTCCCTCCCATCTAGCACCAGGCGCCATGGGGCAGAAAGGCTAAAATAGAACATATGCTGGCCCCTCTGCTTCACATTAGCCTTGACTGCAACACAGAGTGGCCAAGGGACCAGAGATCCTGCAGCTTTATTTCACACCCAGATGCTTGGAGGTTGGTTTAAATAGGAGAGATGCTGCATTTCACCAGTGCAATCCTACCTGGTACTATTGAAGAGAGGGCATTAGAGCACAGCACATGCTGTACCCGGCCCACAGGCCACCATTGGCACTGTACAGATCCGTCATTAGTTAGAAGTGGGGAGAAGGGAGAGAGATTATTGTATCACAAGTTTGTTAGTTAGTTTTCAAGCCCTTTATGGTGAAGCAGAAAGGTTTTTGCTCAAGAGCTTAAACTAGACCCCCATTTATCTATGCAGATTTCACCTGCTCCTGATCCCCTCGGACTTACCTACACAGTTATCACAGACGCTGCAGTGAGAGGTCCTGGGGGGTCGGAACATTTTGCAGGTATAGCAGTACTTTAATTTCACCACGTATTTGTTTATAACCACTTCCATTGTCCGGGCAGGCGGGCGGTAGGTGGAGGTGCCCATGCTATCTGTGGAGTGAAAGTGAAGTGGGAGGAGTCAGGCTCACACAGACCTATTCCACAGGGCACTCCAGCCATTGCAGGCTTGCTCCTCTCTTGCATGGCACAGCGCCGGCTGGCATGCACTGTGCTGTGCTCATTCATATCTAATCTGAAAGCGGGAGAGGCAGCGTGATCTAGGGGACTGAGTTCAAGATGGGAGCCAGGACCTCCAGAGCTCTAATCTTAGCTCTGTGCATTACTCAGAGTGTTATTTAATCTTTGTGCCACAATTCCCCTTCTGTTCAACAGGGATGACACTGATCTCCCTTGCAGGGCTGCCGAAAGGAATTAATGTCAGTCCACGCTTTGAAAATCAGAGGCACTATATACATAGTAAGCATTAAAGCAGCACTCTAACATTAACTCATCTCTAGAACACAGCGGAAGGAAGCAAAGCTCCTCTCTAACAGTTCTCAACCAAAGGAAGTAACAAGCTGTTAACACACATGTGATTCTTCTACAACCGTTCTGTGCACCAGCAACACAGCTACAGGTTTCAGAGTAGCAGCCGTGTTAGCCTGTATCCACAGAAAGAACAGGAGTACTTGTGGCACCTTAGGGTATGTCTTCACTACCCGCCGTATCGGCGGGTAGCAATCGATTTATCTGGGATCAATATATTGCGTCTCGTTACGACGCGATATATCTATCCCCGAACGCGCTCACCGTCGACTCCGGAACTCCACCAGAGCGAGCGGCGGTAGCGCAGTCGACGGGGGAGCCACGGCCATCGATCCCGCACCGTCTGGACCCCAGGTAATTCGATCCAAGATACTTCGACTTCAGCTACGCTATTCGCGTAGCTGAAGTTGCGTATCTTGGATCGATTTCCCCCCCCCCCCCAGTGTAGACCAGCCCTAAGAGACTAACAAATTTATTTGAGCATAAGCTTTCGTGGGCTACAGCCCACTTCATCGGAAGCATAGACTGGAACATATAGTAAGGAGATATATATACACATACAGAGAACATGAAAAGGTGGGAGTTGCCCTACCAACTCTAAGAGACTAATTAATTAAGATGAGCGATTATCAGCAGGAGAGGAAAAAACTTTTGTAGTGATAATTACACATATTGAATCTATTTCCCCATGTTAAGTATCCTCACACCTTCTTGTCAAACGGTCTGAAACGGGCTATCTTGATTATCACTACAAAAGTTTTTTTCTCTCCTGCTGATAATAGCTCATCTTAATTAATTAGCCTCTTAGAGTTGGTAGGGCAACTCCCACCTTTTCATGTTCTCTGGATGTGTGTGTGTATATATATCTCCTTACTATATGTTCCATTCTATGCATCCGATGAAGTGGGCTGTAGCCCACGAAAGCTTATGCTCAAATAAACAGCTACAGTTAAGGAGCAGTAGCCTTTGGGGGCATGGTCATGGGAAGCCCTGTCCTCACTTCCCGTCCCCTGAAGCCAGCAGGGGCTCAGCTCCAGCCGGTGGCCTAGAGCACGGGCTTGCAGCCAGGGGCTGGGGCGGCTTGGGCTGACAGGGGGTGAGGAGGGGGAAGGAGGGAAGGAACAGGGGCAGCTCTTGGCTTCGGCCGCTGGGGGGTCGCTCAGGGCTCTGGAGGGCGGGGCCTCGGCAGAAGGGGAGTGGCCAGGGAGCTAGCCTTCCTGAAGGGGAGGTTCACCCACCGCCCATGGGCAGGGTGGTTTAGCAGTAGAATTGGGGGCAAGGTGGAGGGGTGATCTCTTGAGTGTTTCAGACAGATCCCATTGAAGTTTGACACATACTAGTAGCACAAGTGGAATTTACTTCCTCTAAGGCCCCGGTTGGAGATTTTTCAGGACACTGCAAGATACGCTTCTGCATGTAGCCAGAGGGTGCTGTCCTGGATGGGTGCAGTGCTGGGAAGGGCGGCTTTGGACATTCATGCACGTCACTTTTAAAAAAAAATAAGCCCTTTGATATCACAACAGGGAGGGCACCACATGCTTTTATGAAGGCTTCAAAAACCTGATTTGACACAGTCAAGCATGTTAAGAAGAAAATGAATGGACTGTATTAAGAGCAACAGCTGACATGACAGGTAGCCCCTGCAGTGGGCTAATGGACTAACTACTTCAGGGGATTTTGAAACAGAAAGTGAAGCAGACAGCTAGCTAGTTTTAAAAATCACCCACAAAATGGTTATGTGGTCAGATATAGAGAAATTATTTTTCTTTGATCATTTCCAGAAGTCTCACAGTAGCTTTGCTAGAGCATTCGTTACTATGGGTAACACCACAAAAAGCAAGCCATATATTCTGAACATACACACTTACCGTCATACAGCCATCATAAAAACACAAACATACATGACATTACATCAATGCTTGTCCTCTTATAAGAGCTGTGATGAGCTGTGAATACAGGAGTCCTACCAGGCTAGTGACAAATCCTAGCCCCTAAAAGCATTCATTCCCAAATTCATTACCCTAAATTCACAATCTGCAGAATAAATGCCCAATGTAAATACAAGCTCTAACTAGAGATTTTAAGTCAGTTTCAATCAAGAGGAAGATTCCGCTGGATGTTGATAGGAGGACTGTTTCAAATTCATTAATAAATTGTAATAGGACTTTATACTGGGCACTCTGACTCAACTATTTTGGCTATTCGTTTGGCAACACGGTAAGAAGATATCACGATACATAGCCAGGGGGCTCAGTATCTAGTCTACAAGTCAGTTACTGGGATCAGCTACCTATTTCTGAACTTCTAAAAGAGGGACAGTCAAATGGGGAATCAGAGCGTGGGTAGTTAGCAGCAGCAGCTGTTGAGGGAGTGCTGAGGAGAGTCTTCTGTTGGCACTGGACTCAGTTGTATGATATGCTTCATTAATATTAAGGCTGGGATTTTCAAAGGAGCCTAAAGGAGTTAAGTACCCAATTCCCACTGAAATTCAATCGGAATTGGGCACCTAACTCTCTTAGGTTGCTTTAAAACCCCAGCCTACAGTTTTATGTATAGGTGCATTGTTATTATTTATCAGCACAATGTAAGCACAGCACAGTCTGTATAGAACAACACCCCTATTCCCCTCCGCCCAAGCCTCGGCACAATTACATCTGGGCCTACCTAGCATTATTACAATTGCATTCAAACTAACTGAGACACGCAGCCTTTGAGAACTAGCAGAGAAAAGGGGTCTAAAATGCCTTTTTAGGCAAAATAATCTTGGATCAGTCCCCACTGTCTGCATTTTTACATGAGTGGAGATTTGTTGTGGTTTATCAGAAGCTGCTCTGAAATCCACAAAACTGTCAGGCGTCTCTAGCAGGGCAGCAAGATACTTTGCGCTTGGGTAACACGTGGGGATGTTCTCTGTGGTGTCTAACACAAGACAGGCTTTCCGACAACCCCACATGAGCATTTGCCCCAAAAGATGTCAGACAAAGCTTCACAGTCACAAAATCCAGGGGAACTGGTCTCAGATGCTCTGGATGTGGCCTGCAATTAACAGCGTTACCCAGAACTCCTTCCCAGTGCCAGTTCTAGTCACCAAAACCAATGGAGATGATCACAGTCAAAAACAAAACAAGGGCTTTGTTTCTCTCTGCTCCTATCAAGACTTTTTATCTGATCTACCAGAACATACGCGGGGCTTGAAGAGCTTACTCAACACATACTATGATTAGCCTACCAACCAAGGTGAAAAAACACCTGTGCTACCACATTTCCTGCCGTTGAAAGGAGTAAGAATAAATTCTTAGCACTTACATAGAATGCTTCATGTTCAAACAGCTTCACAAACATTATCTAATTAATCCTCCTAGAAGCCCTGAGAAGAAGGGAGGTTGGTATTATATCCATTTTACAGACAGGGAAACTGACGCAGTGGTGAACTGACTTTCCCCAAAGGCACAGAGAGTAAGTTTCATAACCAGGACTAGAACTCAGGGCTTCCCCAATCCCAGCCCTGTGTTTCAACTGCTGTCTGAACCAGCACACCTCTCTCTACTCCACACTCTAGGATGAGAGTAATGGCACAGTATTTAAGAGCATGGTACACAGTCACTCTGAACTGATGATTTCCCATAATGGTACTTCAGGCTGAGGTAACTGGTACTCCAGGCTCTCCCTCAATTAAACTCTGTGCTGGGCCGCTGCCCTTCTACTACCTACTCCACTCCCGGGAAGCAAGAAGCCAGCTGAGCTCCATGGCACGAAGAGCACGTAGAGTTGACTGTAGTGTTTGGTACAGTACATAGTCCGGGAAATTGGTACTGTTGACCAAAAGAGTTTGGGAATCACAGTTTTAAACAGAAGAATAAATTACTTCTAATTCTACATTTCTGAAGATACCCAATCTTGGGACTCAGCTTGCTAGCACTAGACAGGTCAGATAGTCCCCTCCCATCATCACCTGCTCTTTAGATTTTTGGCCCTCTGAGACACCATCAATTGGACACAAGTGTGTGTCCTTAGACTCTACTCCAAATGCCATCTCCCATCAAAACCTTCCCCATCTACTGCTAGGGTGCCAAGGCTCAAGAGAGGGATCCCCAAATGCCTTTAAAGAATTAGCTTTTTCTAACACATGCGCACGCACAGTCCACAGTAAATGCATGACAGAAAGGCTCACCAATCCGTTTCTCCAGGTCTGCAGCCTCACTGGGGGTGGCTCTGGGCAGAATACCTGGGTCTCTGAGGCTCGTCTGCAGCAGACAGCTGATGACAAAGAAGAACAGGACACCCCCGATGATGGGAATGGCCAGGGTCAGGTGACTGGCAAGGAAGGGGCAGCTGTAAATAATTAGACAAACAAGTTTTTTACATTCCCTGCATTCGCCCACAAGCTCCTCGATCAGCTGTTCTAATGACTACTGTTTATTATTTGAATAGGGGTAACGCCTAGGAGCCCCAGCTAACACAGTTGATTTTGTCATGAAGATGGGACCTAAGTTCCAGAGCCAGGGAGTCCATGTGAAGAACAAATCATACTTTGTTTCCCAACACTGAAGTGAATGACTGGTTAGAATGTAACAGCCTCCATACAACCAGGACACTGCCTGACTCCTGTACATACCCTATTGATGTGTGCAGACTCAGGGGAGGAACAGTTCTAGGGTGCTTTTCAATGGAAAGAGCCCCCAATACTTTACAAACTATATACCCACAGCACCACTGACATGCAGCCACCTCTGGAGTGGCAGGCAACAGCCAGTCATAACACAGCACAATTGTGGGTGGGAATGTGGGGAGGGGGCATTTGGGGTAAAACCCGGCTCTTAAGTGTCCCCATTATATTTCTTTGGAGATACAGAATCGTGTCTCAAAGATCAGTGAGATGTTGGGAAGTCAAGTTACCTTCTGAGAAAATGACATCAGTGAGTATCAAGGTTGAATGAGTTATGTGGGAGCCTTTTATGGACCTTTCTGTACAGACAATGGGTCAAATTCAGCACTACTGCGATTCCATTTGGCCCAGCGTGTGAAGCTGAAGGGGAAACTGGCCCTGGTTCTATTCAGATTTGCCATCTATAGATGACATTTGTCTCCTTCATACTGCACCAGGTGTTTAAAAAGGGACACATTTCTGTACCAGACGCAGTTGTAACATGAGCCAATGCACATCTAAATCAATAACTCGTTTCCAGGCATGCAGCTGGCTTGCTGCTGCTGAACAGGTACAGAGAGCCATCAATAGTGACTACGCATCCTGGAGACAAGGGCCCACCTTTGCCCTCACATGAGGACAATGGGAGGGCAGGCTCAGGCACTCACAGCAAGACAGTTAAAGACTTCTAAGGCACGCAGCTGTTCACATAATGCAGCGCTGGAGTCCCGCTCCCACTCCTCACTCTGCAAAGGGATTTTACTATTATAAGCACTGATAATCACTCAGACTCCAACCCAGACACGCAAGCTGTCCGACTCCTGGTGTCCATGGACAAGAATCAGTCTCACTATACAACAAGGCAGTTCAAAGGGATTAAGAGAACTTTTGTTTCAACTCCCGAGCTCAGCTGTCCAGAACAAGACAGCCACCAAACAAACAAACCCCCACTGGACTAGAACCAATTCCACCACCTAGCGCAGCCATGCGCTTTCTTCTTTACAGATGGACAGAACAGCCTCTGAAGCAGGGTGGATTGATTTAAGTCAAAGTGATTTAAATCCCTGATTTTAATCATGATTTAAACCAGCAAGCAGAAAACCTTGATTTAAATGATCAATTTTAATCATGTTTATACTTTTTAGATATTTTCCTAAAGGAAGGTTGAGTCTCATTGATTGGAAACCTTTAAAACATGTTGATTTACAACTAAATATAACCTTTACGCTAAATTTAGTACTTCTTTTTACTAACCAGGAGCATACACATTTATTTAAGCAATTACTATATATAGTTTAACTTACATTTATTCAGATTTTTAATTTTTACATTTTTATGTTAGAAAATGGTGAATGATGCATTATTTGCCAGATGATGGTTTTGTTTTTTTACTTGTGATTTGTGCCCAGCTCCGTCTGGATGGCAATTCAATTTAAAATACACAATAATAGCATATAATTTTTGTATTAAATAAAATTACCTTAAATGTGCAGGATACATAAGAAAAAAGTTTATCAAAACATGTTTTGCATCTAAAACTCATTTATTAAACAAAGGAAGTATCTGTAGTTAGTGAACTGAACTGATTGTTTCTAATCATCATGTCCTTCAAGATGTTAGTTTTTTACAGATAGATCAGAAGAGGAAAACAAGCTTTTCCGCTTCTTCAACTCTCGGTTTTGTAACAGTGAATGAACTAGTCATTGAACTGAACTAGATGAATAAACCGAAATGATAAAAATATTCTCTCTGCACCTGCAGAAGAAGCTACTGCTGATTTAACACTTCAACAAACCCTGGTTCCAGGTGCTTACACAGCGACTTACCCCACTGAACTGGTGGAACTTTCTTTAAAAGTTGGCAGGAGACACGTACTACTTAATCTATTAAAATCATTTAAACATTAAATAAAAAAATTTATGATAAATTTAGGCCTTAACATAGGCTAACGATTTTTAATTTGATTTTAAAAGTGTATTAGTTAAAACTAAACCTGCACTTAATTTAAATCAAAATTCCAATTGTAATAAAGCTCTCCCACCCCAGGCAGGAAAGGACTTGGGGACAATGGGAAGGGGGCTGGGGACACCAGAGTCCCCCCTCCTCAGACAAAGGGAATAAGTGGAGTGAGGGGGTCCTAGAGCTTCCCCTCTCCAGAAAGTGGAGTGATCGGGAGACAATGAGTGGGTAAGCGACCCACAGAACCCCCTCCATAGACAAGAGATGATGGGGGGGCAGGTTGTAGAAGGGCGTTGGGGACCCTAGAGCTCCCCATACCCAGACAGAGAATTATTTGAGAGGGATAAGAAAGCGAGTGATGCAGAGCTTCCCCTGCTCAGGCAGGGTGTGACTGCGGGCCAGGGACCTTGGGCAGGGGGTGGTTCACAGGCTGGAGAGCCAGGGTCTCTGGGCAAGGAGTGATTGGGGGCAGGTTCCCCACCAGTGGGGTGATGGGCCAGGGCAGAAGACGGGTTTAGCAGCCAGGGCTCCCTGGCAGGGGGTGATTTGGGGGCTGGGGGATAACGGGATAGTTGGGAAGACAGGGTCCCTCGGCAATCCAGTGGAAGGGCAAGGGGTGATGAGGTGGTTTGGGGGCTAGGGTCCCTGGCGGACTGGGGAGACAGGGGCCCCAAGCAGTGCATTGGGGGACAGGGAGTGATGAGGTGGTTTGGGGGAGTGGATTCTGGGCTGGTGTG